TAACATTCGTATACTCCGGGAAGTGACGAAAATGAAAAAAATCTATCAACATTTGTTGGAAAATGCTTCCTGAGGGAGCTAGAGAGATAATTACTCAACAAATCAACATCACGATGAACTCTTATAAAATAAAACTATGTGGAAATGTGAAATTTCAATTATCAAGTTCCAAGTTTTTCATCATAGGAGCTCACGTGCTCAAAATGAATGTGAATTTTTTCGGACATGAAAATGAAAACTGGCACTTTTCTTGAAAACGGTTGAAATAGTTTATGTAGCGAAAGCGGGCTCGAACCCTGTAGATTCTTAAAATCACTCGGCATATTATATTATTATGATTCCTTCAACGTGAACAATGTTTCAAATGTGATGTGGATATCTTGAAAACTGAAAAAAAAAAAATCTTGAAGCTCGTGTTATCTGTTTATTGTCACAGATTCATTTGGGTGACCAAAACTATATTTATTTTCTACTCTGGGACCATGTTATTATCGAAATATTCAAACATCATGGTTGATTTAGGAGTGGAATGATATATAGACAAGACTCATTTCAATTCGTAGGCACATTCACGATAGTAGGTAGTGTGATTCATACGTAGGCAAACGTGTATACAGGATGGTACTCATGATCGTTCAGGGGAAATATAACGTGCTGACCAAAATCATTAAAGTATGCTGACCAAGCATTTCTGGTTCGAGATTTTTCTTCAAACTGCATATTTGGATATTCTATATAGATATATAGATGCCACCTGTAAAATAATTCCGATCCACCCCTTCAGAAGGGTAGTACATTCTTGCTGTTTTTCGAAAATCCTTGCTGACCAAGCATTTTTGGTCCGTATTTTTTCATCAAATTACATATTTGTATATCTTATATAGATTTATAGATGCCACCATTAGTATTATCTCGATCCACTTCTCAAGAGGGGTAGTTTATTCTTGCAGTTTTTGGAAAATCCTTGCTGCCCGAGCATTTCTGATTCAAATTTTCTCTTCAAATCGCATATTTGAATATTCTATATAGATTTATTGATGCCACCAGTGGGATTATTCCAATCCACCCCTTCAGAGGGGTAGTTTATTCTTGCTGTTTATCGAAAATCCTTACTGACCGAGCATTTAATATATATTATATAAGATATTCAAATATGCAATTTGAAGAAAAAACCCGAATCAGAAATGCTCGGTCAAGCATACTTTAATTTTGGTCAGCAAATTATACACCCTCATTTCACATAGAAGTATGGTAGATTTTCTTCATCGAAATAATAACAATTTGCCAACTTGCCTCAATATATATTGCTATGATAAGGGAGATATTGACACGAGTAGAACATTGAATATTAAACGCACTTTGAACAATCCACATGATATATTATTTGATTTTAGCTTTTTATGGTGATTCCAGAAATACAGTGATATATAATATGATGTTCCATTGAAAAAAAAATGTTTTGCTCGTCATAACTCAATCACTCTGTATATTTGATTTTCTCTTTTGAATGTGGCAAATTGAAAATAAAAATCAGTTTATTTGAGGAGATTTCTCAGAAATAGATGATTTGGCTAAAAATGAATTTATTCAGTACCTCACGAACGCACTGTTTGTCACTTAAATAATTTACTATGTCTACTTCAATGTATTTTTCAAAGGCCGCTTTTTTTTCTTCAAGTTAGCACCATTTTCATTGAGGAATATAGAAGACACGTCATTTCAACAAAAATAAGTTATACTTGTTATCAGTCTCAAAACTTGACAGTATTCAGATAATCGCATTTTTAAAATCAGCTGATAATAATTCTCATTCATTATGGGAAATATCAATTTAGTAGGCGTCTACGATGATAATGTCTTCAAAACTTGGGAATAGTGACGTAGTAGGCGGATCACACATCAAAGGCCTGTTCGTTTGTCATGCTGAACTTGCTAAAAAGTGATGTGAGCAATATTTTATGTTCGTTTGTTCCGAGCAATTGATGATCGAGTGTTCGTTTGATTGGAACAAGTTGCCATACATCACTTGAAGCAGGATTCATTTGCTTCTAGAATTTACAGGGAGCAGGAAAATCAAATCAGATTGATCAAGGTGGATGACAAATGAAAATAAAGGAAATGGCGAAGAATGCAACAATAATGTATGAATATGGCAAAAAAGAATAGAATTGTTGACATTATTCTCTAAAAATACCAACGGTTTTATAATTGCAATCACTTATTCTTTTCCCTCGATCAACATCAACGATCAATACCCCCAATCAAAACCAAATCAATACAAATTTGAAAATTACTCAGACAGGCTATATGGTTCGTGCCACTGCATTGTATTAGTTTGAGTTGAGAAAGAGATTAATATGCTCCTATTCTATCATAAAAATTGAATCATTGACGTCAGATTCATTCATAGTATTCCTTCGTTCCTTCTAGCTAAACTGTTGGCCCGCGACACAGGGTTTATCGATGTTCGAAGTCGGTATGCCATTTAAGGGACACACTCACTTAGTCCAAGTTAACAGGAAGAAGTGCCTCGGAGAGTCGCATCCCAGTCCTTGCCCCGGCCCTGACCTCACCTTTCGGTTGGAAAAAAGTTCAAAATTTTGTTTAAGAAGAAGCTCGGCTAAGATGTGTACTCAATTGATGTTCGAATAAGTCGAGCTCCCCTCTCCGGATTCGTATGCAAATGTCGGGAAACTGATTAATGGGTCCGAATTTATTGTTTCGCCAAAGGGCATACATTCTTAGATAATCTGAAAAATTGTCACCTCCGGTTCGTATGCCGCCCTTGGGGAGTGACCTAGGCGTATGCAAACCGGCAAGCGCCCCAATTTTCGTAAGATAAGATCATTGCACTTCATTGTCAAATTTTCATCATTTTTCCAACCGAAAGGTGAGGGCAGAGCCGGGGCAAGGACTGGGTTGCGACTCTCCGAGGCACTCCTTCCTGTTAACTTGGACTAAGTGAGTGGGTCCCTTAAATGGCATACTGACTTAGAACATCGATAAACCCTGTGTCGCGGTCCAACAGTCTATTCATCTTTTGTGCGATGGACGTCAAGGAATAATTGAATCATACAGACCCATTGATTCATTATTGCATCGTGTCAGATTTGCTCATCAGACATCTCAAAACTCCACTTCTTATTCATCAACAAAAAACATGTACCCACTTCCGAGCGAGCTTCCGAGTTTGAACAATAAGAATAATGGAATATCAATGTTCAATAAACCACCTTGTAATCGTGAAGAGTGATTTCCATTGAGGGATAAGAGTAAAATTACATAAATGACAGCTAGCTAATACGGTTTCAGATGCTTCTCCACACTAATCAGAATAATGTGCGAGAAAACCAAAGACTTGAGTATTTCTACTACACTCGAAACATGCCTCTTCATGCATCAGCTCATTATGATTGAAAAAAACATCGACACCAACAGAGTTTCCATGTAAATGATCTTATTATTGGTACTGGCACTGGCACTCCTTCCCGAGATCATAGGCATTTGATCGACTCAATTAATTGATTCAAGTTCATTATTATTTTATTGTAGCTATATCGTTGTGAACTAACGACTATAACATCTGAATTTCCCCAAACAACTGTGTTTGATGAAACTAAAACGATTGTATATACTATTTGGAGCAATGAAAGATTTAGTGTGTCACTTTCTTCACTTCCTATGTCGTGAATATCCAAACAGTTATTTGATTTGTATATGAAATGATGCCTCTAGGGAATCCACCAACATCAGTTCAGCTTTATTATTCCAATCTCAATTCTTGTGTACAGAGTATCAAAATGAAATGTCATGTCCAAGTGATGTCTCCGTCTCAAACTAACCCTCTTCCATGGCTATCAATTGCCTATGGAAACAGGTTCAGAGTACTTACTTACTTTTATAGCCGACTAAAAAAACCTAGTACTCACAGTCCTAGGATTCTCCAAAACCACCCAAAAGTGCTTCCATTGGGTACTCGTGCCCCATACGTGACTGTCATCTTCCCCCAACAATGCGTCACTTCACTAACACCATATACTAAATAAGACTAACTAGAATATCATTATAGAAATGAAACCACCGTCGTAATGGTGGTACTTATCATAAAAAATTTCCATATCAATTTGGTCCACATAGAGACGTCATCAATGGAACTAAAGTCTGCCAGTGTAACGAAACCATATATATCACGTATGGTAGCAATATTCTAGGCAATCATCTCCAGAAGGAGATAACTATTTAATGAAACATAATCCACTTGAAGTTTCAATATGTTACTACCCTTGCAGCACTTTGATAACCTTTATTGAATCTCACGCTATGATTGAAACTCGTACTTGAGCATTTTTTCATAACTTGATACTCAAATCAATCCTCGTCGACACTAGGGTTAAAACTAATTTCCAACATTAATGCAACCTATACAAAAATTACTAGTAGAGGTTGAACTTATTATTGCGATACCGCCTCATCATCCGTTAAAATCCTCTTCAACCTTGAATATTATTCAATTCAGTGAAACTGAAACCTTCGTTCCTTTCCTTTTAACTGCATAGTTTTATGAAAAAATCTTGGAGATATCCTTTGGTATTAATGCAGGTTCACTTGAGAGAACTAGCTATGGTAGAAGTATTTCGTGACTATAGATACTGCTTCGGAGTCTGTTCAGATCTTTAAAACATTTCACAACCTTTGCCATCTCCTGAGACCCAATTGGAGACATATACAAAACCGCTACCAGAAAATACTTCCTTATGTACTGATGACTGTCGTAACAAGAATAGTCCTTGCCCCAGGCAAGGTACCCCTGAATGTCTCAACATCTGTTCAACCATTCCACCAACCTTTGAGCTTGAATGATCTATGTTGAGTGCCTTTTCGACATGAAACATCAGAAGGAACTTCAGAGTTTCCAATGAAATTTCTGCATCAAAATACTCACTAGCTGGCATCTTTTCAAATCTATTCTACCACCTTTCCCACAAGCCTCTGTTACTTACATTCCAAGTACTTTCCAAAAACACCCGAAGGTGCTTCCATTAGGGACGCGTCCCCCATAAGTGACAGTCATTTTGCGAACACTAGCAGGCCTAGGCCTGCTCCACTCACCTCACTGACACCATAGACTGAGTAGCGTATCGCAGCCAGCTATGGAGGTCATCGGAATGGTACTCTAGCGTGGTACCGACACCACCGTACCACAAAGACTGCCTTCGGTCGCTTCGACAATCGCCAGCGTAGGTGATCGCACAGGTGTGTTGGGTGCATGCATTATAGTGGGGTTGATCAGTGATCAGTGTATGTGCATATATTGAAAGAATGAATGTACGCTGCGCTATAATGATTAGAATAAACTGCTACGCATTAGAAGTGATTCTGAAAGAGCGGTTTCCACATACGACATAAGATCACCTCCGTATACAAGCGTTTGACCCATTGCGTTCGAAAACGATGTCGTGACTTCACCTTTCGTTGATAACGATTTTCTAGCAAGCAGTCAGTGGTGAAAAAAAATGCAGGAGACCTAATTATTGAATTTTTTATGGCCCACAAGATCATCTTAATCAAAGTCCCCCAAAACTGGGTTTACATCATTTGTGGAGCAAGGATAAAATGAAGTGTCTAAAAAGACAGGAGCATACCAATTTCCAGAAGATTTGGTTCGTTATTTTGGTCACAATTTTAGTTTTTTTTTTTTTTTTACCTTACTTACTGTAGATGTAGCTCAGAGGAGTGTATTTTAGGACATATTTTTTTTATGTTCTGGTTCCGACGAGAAGGGATAAGTATCCTGTAATGACCAGAGAACATCGTGAGAACCAAGGGAAATTGGGTAGGAATTGGTATTCTTCTTCAATTTCAAACCAAGTTTTTGCAATGCACTTTTAGCAATTGATCTGACGTGATTTTCTCAAGAAGAGTTATTGCTGATAGTGATACCAAGCATCGAAAAGAATGTCTTCAAAGGTATGGTTACTCCTGACAAGCCTATGTTGGGCACAGTGGGATCTGCTTTTCTAGAGAATAGTCATGCTTGTGTTTTGTTTGCATTGAAATCAACCAAGTTATTGGATCCCCATTCGAGAATTGTTCATATTTATGTTGTCAAAATGTCTCCCTTGTTCGTTTCTGATATGCCTGGCTGGTATTGGAGCCCTGGAAGAGAAGGCGGTATGGATGGTACTATCATCCGCGGAGCTGTGTACTGGACATGAAGTTGCTTCCAACAAATGGTTGATATGGAGTAGAAATAGTGTTGGTGCTAGAATTGATCCTTGCGGAACACCAGTATTTATGATAATAGAGTCAGATGAAACTCCGTCGACCACTACATGAAAAGACCTGTGTGAGAGGAAACTAGCTAACAGAGAACATAGTTTAGCCCCGACGAAAGGTAATATCCGATGAACCAGTGTAAAACTGATGTGATACTCGCACTACAAGTATTTTAATCCACATGTTGAGTTACACAATGGTCCATCTGATATTATCATCCACCATAAATTAGGATTTGAGCTGTTACTCACTGCTGCAGTGGTCAACTATCTTCAAAATGGTAATTGTGCAATTGGCTAGGGAACATAGAAACATTCCATTAAATTGGTCTAATCAAAATCATAATCAAGAAATGAAAACAAGATCCAGTCATGAAGTGAGGCGGATCAGTACGAATTGCTATATTTGATATGTTGAAAAAAAATTACGTTGTCTGTCCTAGTGGATCGTGACGTGACAGCCAACCCATACCTTGAAATACTCTTTCGTGAAGGCCCAACGGTCCGAAATCAATATTTCAAATAGTACCATGGTGTTAGGTCTGTAAGGCCCTGCGCGGTTTGAGTGAACCATGAGCTGAAGATCCTTAGGGATGCTCATAGCGCTCAACCTGTTGAACACGTTGAAAATGGTTGTCAAAGAGTTCCTGTAGGAAGTGGAATAGGTTGTCTTTCTAGCACCACTTGGGTTATTGAGCACGAAGGAACGAAAATCGTGAATGCAGCTCTGGTACAATATGGGTTACATTTCTTACATACATGATAGTCAGCGAGTGTAATATATTTGTTTTATTTTATTAATAGAATCATCACTCACTTACCTTTTGATTCCATATTTCTTTAGATATTTTTGGTCGATTTTAAGGTGCTAAAATCATCAATATTGTCACGGTGATTTCCAAACGGCTAGAAATGTACCGCAAATAAAAATTGACGTCAAGATTTCGTAAGTAGGAGCAGAACATGCTACAGTTGCCATTATGTTGAAATACGAATGGGAACTTCAGAAATATTATTTATTCAATGATTCGTAAATTCTCAATCATGTATTAATCTTTGGTAAAAGTCCATATTACTAAAAGTGGAGTGAAATTTCTGGAAGATAAAGGAATGCTAGGAGTCATCTCCTCAAATTTTGATGGTGTTGTTACACAATCATTAGGGAAATGTTTGCGTCTTATAAAAGACCGTCTCCAGCCTAATTGAAAGTTCTGCAATACAAAAAGGTTGATGTGAAGGAATTAAATAATTTGTGCTTGACTTACTTGAAGTTCAAAAATTTTAGGCTACTTGTTATGGAATTGTTGTCAATGCTCATAGTCGAAAAATCAAATTATAAATGAAAAAACGGGTTCTCAATATATGAAGGGCGCATTCTATTCTATTGTCATTGAAAATTTCATATACCAAAATGGTATATGAAGGGTAATTGCTGAAAAGTTTCTTTTGACAACACCATAAATGAACGGATTTAAAGAAAAAGGAGTTTCTCGTGCCCTTATGAAAGCGCTACTCAACGAAAATATCAATAAATTTGATGGGGCGAACAGCCAGCACGTAAGTAACTCCAAGTAAGTCAAGCACAAATTATGTAATTCTTTCACATCAACCTTTCTGTATCGTCGAACTCTCAATTATGCTGAAGATGGTCTTTCATAAGACCGAAACATGTCCCTCATGATTGTGTAACAACAACATTAAAATTTGTGGAGATGACTTCGAGCATTCCTTCCATCGATAAGGAATATTTGCAGATATATTTATTCAACAGAAAACAACTACTTTCCTGGCTTTATGCCACGATGAAAATTGAATTACATCTATCGAACACACACGATGAGAATTTGAAATCAAAATCTTCTGAACTAGAGAATTCGCATTCTCCTTCATATAAAGATATGCATATAATATCATTCCGAATAATCATTAAAAAACAACTACTTTCCTGGCTATTTGCCACGTCGAACATTGAATTATATCTGTTGAATATCCAAAAAGAGAGCATATATGAACAATCAAAATCCTCTGAAATTGAGAATTGTCATTATCTCTCAAATCGAATAGGATAATGTATTATGATATAAAAATATAACTTACCAATATGTTCAGTATTGAAATGAAATTTCAAATGTATAGGAGAAGAACACCGTCATAAACTCTGATCTTGGTCAGCTTGGAACTTCCGAAAAAATCATCCGTATCAGTGATATGGGAATTATATCTCTCACAAACAGGTTATATGACTTAACTCGAGTAAAACTCATTTCGGATTTCATATCCCCATCAGTAACCTGAAGTCTAGTTATTCTTTCAGCCATTCTTCATTATATACACAATTTTCATCTCCCTATACTATAACTGACATCTGAGAATTATTATGATTTGTTGACATACTCCTTTATCATGAATGTAAATTTATCATACATTCAAAATTCCTTTCATCTTTTGAATTATGTATCAGTAATATCCTCAATCTACCTATATACAAGGTGTCCCAGAACAACGTACCATAAATTCTACAGGGCGAACTATATAGAGACCAAATTTGACCGATTGAAATCAACTCACCTCTATAAGAAAATGCCCCGCTGAACAGATAGAGGGCGATGTATAGAACAATTTTATATCCAGATAAACTGGGCTCCAATTGAAACGTTAATAGTGAAATTTGGCATCAAGTTTGACTTCTCGTAATTTCTAAAATATTGAACGAATTTTGACTTGCCACCCAGATTCTGAATGCCTTTTTCATCGTCTTTCGAACCGTTCCTTACAGCTTCTTCTAAATTGATCAGGAGGATTCAGGACCCATGATACAGAGTGAAACGAAGTTGCGTGCATTTTGAAAAAAATTTCTCCGCCCCCCCCATTTCGTCGGAAGACCACGATGCTCATATTTTATTCGGCCATTTCATAAATAGCAACCATACCTCGGGACGTTTTCGAGTTTTTGCCAAAAACTACTGTGGTTTCCGAAAAAAAAAATGTTTTTGTATTTTTTTAAATGGACTAATTTTAGAGGAGTTCCATAAATGGATGCTTTTATGCATTTCAGGAAAGCGTTGGAGCAGATATGTATACCAGGTTACTCAAAAACAATCAATAATTTATTACTTCGCAGTCTATGATAAAAGTGTTCTACCTTAGTGAGCAGTAAATCAACACATCTCATCAACAAAAACAAACAACGATACCTTGTTTCTTTAACAAGGTATTGTTGAAACAATGTAGGTATGCATAGAGGTTATATCAATTGCCAATTTTCATGAGAACGTCAGTGTAATTCAGGTCCTAAAAAATTTAAAGATGCCTCGTTCAAATCGGGTCGAAATGGAAAATATCATTAGGTAAGATCACTATAGTGATAAACTATAATTCAGTACAGATAATTATTATTTCAGGTTATGACGTTTAGGATATACCCAAACTCATTTAAGTACCATTTTCAATGAGTCAGTCATGACTATAAATAGACTGATTCATCGTTTTGAGGATACAGGTAATCAGTCCATTTAAAAAAATGCAGAAAAATTTTTTTTTTCGGAAACCACAGTAGTTTTTGGCAAAAACTCGAAAACGTCCCGAGGTATGGTTGCTATTTATGAAACGCCTGAATAAAATATGAGCATCGTGGTCTTCCGACAAAATGGGGGGGCGGAGAAATTCTTTTCAAAATGCACGAAACTTTGTCTCACCCTGTATCACGGGTCCTGATCAATTTAGAAGAATCTGTAAGGAACGGTTCGAAAGACGATGAAAAGGGCATTCAGAATCTGGGCGGCAATTCAAAATCCGTTCAATATTTTAGAAATTACGAGAAGTCAAACTTGATGCCAAATTTCACTATTAACGTTTCAATTGACGCCCAGTTTATTTCGAAACTGCTCTGAAAGTCGTAGGAATATTTACTGTAATGAATGTGCATGGAAAACATGTACCGATTCAATCAATGTAAAGGGAGTTAGGTATTTCGAATTCTCTTCGATAAAAATTAATATAACTTCTTTGGAATACGGGACTGGCCATATTTTGGTATCTCCATGGATGACAAGATCAATTATCTCACTATGATCTAACTACACATTTTTTCATATTTCTTCTTGGTGGAGATATACAGGGTCGTTCGTTTCTTAACAGTGAATTCAACAGCGTATAGTACTCGTTGAAATAATGAAAAACTACCTATGAACATATACTTTTGAACGCTCTGTTTTCGAGATATAAGGTGTTTAAGTTTCTATAAAAATCGTTTTTTCATTGATTTCTCAAAAACGCTATAACCGATTGTGATGAAATTCACATCGATTGTGACAATATCAATGAGGTACCTTTTGGACCTATTACAAATGATGAGGTATTTACAGGGGCGTGCCTACGGGGCAAGTTCATAAGTTTTTGCCAGAAAAAAATTGCAGGAAGCAGATTTTTTCAAATGTTCATCATTTTTCTGATTGGAACATCTCAAAATATAACAAAATTCATTCTGGTGCTTCTCCATACTACCCGTTTATGATGTTGGAATTATCATGTTTCGCTCGTTTCTACCTCATCAGTGTTGAGTGATTGACCACAATGATAATGTTTCCCAATACGCAAGCTCTTCATCATATGATTTAGGAGCTGGTCGTTTCCAAATTTCAGCTAAGCATTTGTGGTAAAAAACTCCATTCGAGAAGAAATAAATAAATTTGAAGATGACCAACAACATCATCATAACCATGATTATAGTGGTCAATAATAAAAATATGGAGGAACACGAATTTTGTTAGACATTTCGAAAACCAAAAAGACAATTGAACACATCGGTTAAAAAAAATTAGTGCCCAACCTTGTATATTGATCCAATTGTTACTACATGATTTCCATGCATATTTCCTGTAGTAAAACATTTCAAGGATCTCGAAATATCAAAGAAAATTTGGAAATAGAATTGTTCTTTATCGCCCTTTCGTGTAGAGGTAAGAAGATTTCAAATGGCCTATTTCGGTCTCTAGTTCACCCTGTAGGAATCATGGTACGTTTTTCTGGGACACCTTGTATAAAAAAAGTCCAAAATTTGTTAGATTATTTATAAAACAAGAACGGCTGAACCGATTTGGCTGAAATTTGGTGGGGAAGTAGCTTAGTAGCTTAAAACCAGGAGACTGCTATAGGATTCTTTTAATCCCTAGAAATTCAATATGGCTGATCGAATATGGCGAATTCTGAGATTATGAGCATAATATGGTAGTTTCAGGTTTGGAGTAGGCAACTGTCTCAGCTATTGCAATATGATGTTACCTTATCACGAGGTACAAAAATACACACAGATGAAACCTTCAGAACTGTTTACTGCTGCTGGCTCTATTTCAAACGAGGTTGCCAAAGATTGTATCTTTGATTCTTTGCTGCTGTTAACAAAGAACAGCAATCAACAGCATTTATGCAAAATAAGAGCAATCAACGTTCCGTAACATGTCCATCCCTCCTCAGGGACAAATGCATCATTAAGAAATTCATATTCATACTTAATTAGAACGCTAATTATATAGTATAGAACAGCAATAAGCTGGTTCAAACCAATACCTACGTATTATGTATCACTCAACTAAATTCAATATTGGTCGGGAAAGGCGAGTTTTTTATTCCACATTGAACTCAATCTCAATTACTGAATAATCCAAACGAATAGATATGGAATATTTGGATAATGACATTGACATGATAATATTCTGGTAGCATCCTGTTTTTGTGATAAGCAAGATTGCATCATTCACTATAGTTATTTTCAATATTCAATTAGTTCAGATGTTCTTGTATTCGTTCAGATATAAATAATTGATTAAGACAAATATAGACTTTTCATGGACAGTTTTATAATTTCGAATTGTATGCAGTAACAAGTGAAATCAGAAAAATAATGAAATGCACAATTTATATAGATAATCAAAATAATACTAGGTATCTATCTATACTTGCCTTTTTGAAGAAATAAATATTAATACAAGGTAAATGCTTGAATAAGTTGCAAGTTCAATACTGCAAATGGTAGAAATGACATAGATAAAAATAATAAATGCTATGACTAGAAGCCGTGAGTTCTGAAATTAAACAATACTGATCATCATAATCTACAAACTAATATCTTTTTGTACTTCCGCCATCACTGTGGCCGATTTCAAAATGGCCTCGTGCTCAGAAGAATTCAGTTTTTGGGTGACGATGTGGCTGATTCCAATTTCCCCAAGAACAACTGGCAAGGACAGAAAAACCTCGTGTTCCAAACCGTGCTCACCCTGTAAAATAAATATCGGAGACATTGAATATTGATCAATTTGGTCATAGTATGCCATACTGACCACCAGGGTATCTAGCATGCAAGAACTGGATTTTCGAACATTTTTGTTTCATATTCTGCTCGGTCATAAGGGTGGAAATATAAAACCATATAGAACTTAAACGTCCTGGGGATGTCTATTTCAGGTTCGATTCAGGTCTGAACATCTTGGACCTTTTCGAGACGTACTGAAAAGGTCCATTTCTAGACATACTGGGTACGTCCAACTTTGGACTTTATCGATTTCTTGTGAACGGTATTGAATACATTGTATAATGATCGTAGAGTAGAGTAATTGGTGCAGCATCCATATCATGTGAAACTTGATATACCGGGTGGCTACGAAAGAATTGCCTACGGAATATCTCAGTTATTGTATGAAGTAGGTTTGTGAAATTTGAAGCATCGATATAATGACATAAGAGCTAGAATTTGAGCATATTGACATGTCGAAGTTAACTTCCGGTCTGACCGGAAGTAACATCAACTTTCTAATTTTAAATGGAAACCCTGTTGTTTTTTCTTTTCATTTTATTTAGCATTCAATTCCCTTCTTAATGACATATCAAAAGTTGGTATCTAACCAGAAACTAGATCAGAAAAAAATTATTATTGAAATTCACCGAGTAGGCCGTGGAAGCAAAATGAAAGCCAAAAATTGAAAAGTTGGCTATGGAAACCATACGTCACTTGATAACAGTTGCTACTACTGTGATATTTAATGTTCATTCGTCGGCGTTATAAAAAGCCGCCGAAAAAAAATATTGGAAAAATTGGGAAAAAAACAATACTGTGTAGGTCCATAACTTAAATAGGAACATAAAACTTTTTCTTGCCTGTACTATTCAGCATAACCATTCCTTTCTAATGATATAATAGAAAGTCATTTTTTGAAATGAAATACCAAAAAATCCCATTATTATTCTTCAAATAACAAAACAGACTATCGCCATACGTGAAAATGAAATAAAAAATAATAGATAGTTTCTGGTTAGATATACCAACTTGTGATATGTCATTAGAAAAAGAATTGAATGCTGAATGAAGCGAAAAGAAGAAAAAATAGGGTTTCCATTCAAAATAAGAAAGTTGATGTCACTTCCGGTCATACCAGAAGTTAACTTCGACATGTCAATGTGCTCAAATTCTAGCTCTTATGTCATTATATCGACGCTTCAAATTTCACAAACCTACTTCATACAATAACTGAGATATTCCGTAGGCAATACTCCCGTAGCCACCCGGTATGATGGTAAATATACCTATCAGAAATTGTTTTCATGAGTAATATCACAATGTTCTGTTAACAATGAACGTCATAATAATGAGAAAATTTTCAGAACAGAGTGGTATTTCACTAGACTATTTCACGTTCACGAAGCATAAAAAGCATGTATTATGAATGAGTGATTCCTTCTGACAAGCACAGTCATAATTATTTCCTGCCAAACTGACAGACTTTGCTTCGCTATCCATGGTAACCTCCAGACATATCCATGGTTTCATCGTTGAAAACATGAATGATGTCAGACCAAAGCACACGTTGTCTCTGGCTTGTTATTGGTCAGATTATACAGGGTAACATTGAAATAAGTGCAAATATTTCATGCCTTGAGTAAGCTCGACGTATACTATCGAGTGGAACCATAGTGGAAGGAGAAGATGGTGTGCCTACGCGCATATTATGTGACGTCATCTGGGATACCAATATCAGCTGCTAGTCACAGACAGATACCGTTGCCATGGGCGTGCGCAATGAATTCAATCATGTTCATTGAAATTTCTAGAAGTTTCTCGATCTGTTTAGAAATAATTCAATTTATATAAACAGGTACCTATTCCTTCGATTTTACTATTTCATTGATTCTGGAAATTGTGATCTTGAGGTAATTCGCAATCGCAAATAGCAAATACATACGAATTATCATGCATCGCTAATTCCATCTGAATGATCCACTACTGTGTCGATTCTGATAGATTAAAATTCAGCAGTTAACGACGTTGACTTTGCTTCTGCTCCGACATCGACAACAGGAGTATCAATTTTTGCCGTTTTGTTATTCAAATCTTTGCTGCAATTTATATTTTGTGAGAAATTAGGAGATCTGAATTCATTTTCAATTATTTCTGACTTGATATTCGGAAGATGTTCTGTACGAATGGCATCTTGTTTGAAATATTTGTGATTTTTTGGAGGTATGTAATTCAAGAACCGTACTTTCGCACTTGTTTGGAAACATTTTGCATGGAAATGTTTTGAAGAAATATGAATGCAGAAAAAATCAATATCTGTGCCTTTCCATAACCAGAAACGAAACAAGTGGGCATTTCGAAATTATTTCATTCGATTTTAGTACTTATATAATATCTGAAGTTCGAGACATCAATTACGAAAACAAATAATAACAATAATGACAGTTATATCCCAGCTGACGTCATGCGCAGAACAAGACGAGTTTGAGCTTTCTGTTGAGCACACCATCTTCTCCTTCCACTATGAGTGGAACCAATAAAAAAATGTAGGGATCAGAATAAAATTTCATGTTAGACCCCTTTACCACCCAAAGTTCCACACTGTAGCCATTCTGACGTGACCTCTTGTTGAAATTTTCGTGCGGAAGGCACAATCACACGGATTCCAATCATTTAAATTGTTTTAAAGTGGCGTTCTCTTTTTCTCTTTATTTTGTTTAATTTTTGGAATGAAATTTCTTGTCAATTAGAAGAATTAGGAAAATCTGATATTATGGGAATATTTGTTTGACTGTATATATCATATCGATGTGCTGATTATATGTACATATTTCAAAAATACCTTGTATATATTTTTGATTTTTATTCAAAATAAGACTCGTCCACTCTGTCTAGATTTCACTTTCAACAATCTAGAGTGAAAAAGGCGGATCTAAGTTGATTCAGGTATTCATGGACCTGAAATGGACGTACAGACAATGTACAAATGCGCGGAATCTGGACATCCCCAGTACATTCCTGCTACGTCTACGGTTCCTGACCAGGAAGTGCACAGTACGTACACGGAAAAAAATGGTCCAAGTAAAATGTTTTCCTGACTTGTTTTGTATCGGGATAAGAAAAATAATACCTATTCCAGAAACAATTTTATTCAGCCTCTAGTAAAATGATAATTCTGAACGCATGAACTTGTAGCTATAATTTCATCCACCTATAGCAAATAGTTTTCATCTTAGATAATTCACTTTGTATAGCCACAGGAAAACATTTTATAAGCTCTGGTGAAGTGTATTTTAGACTTTATCAACTTCGAGTTTCTGAAAAGGAAATAATAACTACAGAAACTCGTGTTACAAGCACAATACAATTGTTTATCTGCGGTACAACCCAATATACCTACGGTAATACAATATGTTCACCTGCCCAGTAATCGGGAATAATCGTCGCCCTCTCGTGTTGTATATCCGAATTGATCAGAATCCATCAGCGTCACTAGCGTCAGTTTCGTCGTGTTGTATTCATTATATTATGCTGAGGAAGTATGACTCATCACCACGAGAGGTATAGAAGGTTAGAAGGTGCCATTCAGAATCCCTTTTGGGGGCGGCCGAGAGTTATAGACAACCAATAGTGCTGTTTTACTTTCTATCGATCTGTTATTTACTTAAAAGTTTATCATTGTGTAGAAATGACGTTATTCATAGTGATGAGTTCTTAAATAAAACTGTTCATTTGTGAAATAAAAATGTATTGTAAGAAAATAAGGCATGATACATTACAAATGAATCAAATGATCCTTGTTTGAATGATGCCAAGTGAATTAGGAGTGAAGACAGGAAGAAAGTTCGACTGAGTCTGGTGTATCCCGATAACAAAGATGGGATGAAAGCTATCCAAGGTGAGACATGATGAACTACCCATAAGTGAGTCATAATAGATGAGGCCAAGTGAATCAAGATAATTGTAGTTATTAAAATAAGCACCTAGCCAATAATGTCGTTGCATAACTCCAAGTGAAAAGTACACTACCCACAAGTGAGGTATTCTATGAGACCAAGTGAATCAAGTCACCTATACTTATCGAACTGACCACCTATCCAATGATTTCGTTGTATAACTGCAAGTAAAATGTACACTTAGGCCAATAAAACAAATATTCTGTCCTTAATAAAGCGTTCAATATCAGTAGGTTACATGTGTTCCTGAAATCACATTAATAACAACAAGTGATCAGATTCAGAAATATCATTTTTCTTGTGGCTGATGAGGCGAGTACTTGTCCTATATAGTATGCAAATTTTTACTTGGTAGTATGCAAATTTCACTAGCTGTTATTAAAGTTTTTTTTCCGTGTACGAAACGTTTGTGCAGACGTTCTCAGTACGTTTTGTGGACGTTCTGGTGCTATTTGGGAAGAGATCCAAAGGGTAAGAATGGGTTATGGGAAGCTCTACCAATAATCTACCATAGCATATTACAACGCCGTGGATATTGACATTTCACGCCCATCTTCTCAGGCAGTTAGGATGTATTTTCCTTGATGTTGAGTTTTTTACATACATAGATTTGTTAAGACATAGAACAGATTAGTAGGCAAACCCTCAAAATGTTAGATGAAGCAGCTGCTGACACATACGTTTCTGTGTTATTACACATTATCAATTGAGTCACAAATTTCCGAAACTTGGAAGACGGTGGGTGCAGGCACAGTTGAGAGAATGTAATATTCTCTCAACTGTGGTGCAGGGTATGGTCAAGGCGAAACCGCCATCTTGGATTCTTGGATTTTTTTTCTGATGACGTCACATGATAGCAAGGAAATTGCCAAACCAGGATTATCAAGAGCACTTTTCGTTCGTATTTCCCTAAACTTGATATTTTCTGTGGTTACCTATTTCTGTGCATAATGTGCGATGTACACAGATATTCAAAGAGGAAAAAATCAACCTTAGCAGGTTCAGCAACATAAACGAGCAGACCTATTAT